TGTACTTTCTTGTTGCAGGTAAGCTGAGCATTAAAATGCATAGCTCATAAAACCAGTAGCCTCTGATGGGTACGAAATGAAAGAACAAAGGTGCTTCAGTATAGCTGCGTTACCGAACTAGATGTAGAGCCGCAGTTAGCACCAGGCTAAAGGAGATAGGCTAAGGAGCGAGGCTAACGGCTCGCGCTTGGCTCGCTTATGTAGGCTCAGTGGGTCGGCTTAATGTGTTCCAAAATGTGTTCGAAAACTTATATATTATTTGAGTTCAGTGAGTTAATGAAAGTATGTTTGTGTAGTTGTACGGTGATGTCAGTAGGGAGTATGTGAATTGTTGGGGCGCTGTGTGCGGCAGCGGGTGATGTTCTGGCGGGCGGAAGAAGTTCGTCAGTGCTTAGAGGACAGCTTGTTGCAGCAGATGTTCGGAGCAGATTTGTAACCGCTGTACTTTCTTGTTGCAGTTTAAACTAAATAAATGTGCTACCAGAGGAGTGACCCGGCCCACCATGCTCTTCAGTGTAACACATACTAGAATTAAATATATTTCTTTAAGCATGTTTTGAATTAGTTAGTTTTAGATCCAAACTTATAGTTAGTATTTAGCATTAGATTTTGTTTCAGTAAAACACAAACACGTTCTAGTTCAATCACTGAGGCAGAAAACCAAAACAGACAGAGGTCGTAAATTTAGCCGAGGGAGGGTTTGCAGGAGACGCCTGGTACGCCAAAGACCCAGTTTGACAATCCATATATCTGCCTTTGGGGCTCTTTAGCAGAGGTAATAAAAGTAACATTAAGACAGCCCCCACAAAGGAAAACACACCTCCTAATGCATATATTTAAATTTAGAGAAAGGCACAGGCTTATAAAAGTTTCCGTTTGCAACAGAGAATTCAAATTGCTTTCTGCCCGAGTCCGCAATTCCCGGAAAATGCATTTTTCTGTCTTTACTTTCTTTCAACTCGTGCAATTATTTCTGTTTTGTCACGTCTTGGACTTTTGATCATCTGGGTGAGATGCTTATTGTAACATTCCTTTGTGCATTGATTTTCTCTGGATAAAATTCTAGATATCTGAAGTCTGATGTCGTTTGATTGCTTTTTCTCCCTGCATACACTTAGACTCAAGAATCCGAGACAAAAGAGGAAAAGTAATGAGCTAAATCAAGTTATTCCTCTTTATTTCTTAACACCTCTTTTTCCGCTCCCTCTGGGACGCCATACAGCCTGATGGAGGGTAACCCTACGGCGGAGTCTGTTTTCCATATCGTCGCATTTAGCCGTGAGGATAGCTTCTCTTTCGAGCAAGTGTCCCAGTGCCCTGTCCTGCCTTATGCTTCGGTCTTCCGTTGAACTTACTCTGTCCTCCGCTTCAGTCAGTCGTCTGTCCAGACCCTCCAATCGTGTCTTTAAGTCTTCTGCAGCTTTCAACGGTGTAGCTTCGGATAACGTTAGCTGCTTAGAGCCAGCCGAAACGTCATCCTTTCTACCAGCCTTCATGTCCTTCTTCTCCGTACTTTGACTAGAACTGAGTCCTTTGAGCCCTTTCCTTTTAATTTAGTACTCATCTATCAATTTTCATCACTTTGTCGGCTATTTATTGTGGGTCTGGTGGAGCCGCAAAGTTATGCGTCCGTCTTCTCCTGTGTAGGTTTGTGCCGTTAAAATGTTCGTTTTTGCAGCTTTGGTTTCCGAGATATTAAAATGATTTTTTAGGCCATCCAGAGTTCACCATCCCCACATTTTGCTCCAAAACAAACCAAAGTGGGCTGGTTCATTTTGCAGGTTTGTGCCGTTAAAACAAACGCAGCAAAGTTGTTTTCAATTTGGATTTTGACTGTTCCAATATCCGGTGTGAGCGGCGCCTAACTCGAGGTTGATCCGATTCATGAACGCTAATTTGGGCCAGCCGGTCTCTGGTCTCCTCCTTCCTCAAGGAGTCGGAGTTTCACTCAGAGAGAGTCAACAAATTTTACATCCAAACTCTCCTGAGAAACTAATGGAAATAGATTTCTTGCCTTGTGACCAACTGACACAAAATTCATGACACAAAATATTGAGTATGAAGTAGTCATACTCAATATTTCAGTAATTGTAATCAAAGTATATATTTTGGATGGCCTAAAAAATCATTTTTATTATCTCGGAAACCAAAGCTGCACAAACAAACATTTTAAAGGCACAAACGGAGCACAAACCAATCAGACTATTTGCTGGATTTTTGATGTAGGTGGGGTTCAGCTTCACGGAGGTCTGTTTCGCTTCTCCCATTAAACACCAAGTTAATCTTTTGCATAATGACCAGTTGTTGCACCTATAGTGTGTGAAGTAGAGGAATCCTAACAGGCTTTTTCTCTTCATGTTGGCCGCATTTTCTGTACTGACTATTTATTTTTCTCATTTTCAGCACTGACCTTACTGAAAGGGAAAACTGGAGGCTTATAGAAACTTTGTATTTTCTGTCCTGGAGGGTTTACTAAAAAGCTGGTTCAGTTGTAAAGCAGGTTAAGTTAACCTAAAGCAGGTTAAGTTAACCTAAAGCAGGTTAAGTTAACCTTGTGGTTTAAGTAAAGCACCTAATGTTCTTAACTAAATGATGCTGCAGGTTTATCTATTAGCAGGTTTTATTTTGCCTGCACTTGGTTGTGTTCATTATTTTAAGTGTATTTAACAAGTTTATCAAAATATTAAAAATGTCATTCAAACTGTATTTGCCTTGTTTTACTTTTTACTTAAACTTTTCATTACATTACTTGAGTTCATCCATTGTTACAGTAATTTCCATACTTAAGTACAAGACATTTCAGATACTTTAAGACTTGAACTCAAGTGACATTTCAATCAGTGACTTTTACTTTGACCAAAGTCATATTTTGGAGCGGTGCCGATACTTTTACTTGACTCCGAGATTTCAGTACTTCATACAACACTGTTCGTGTCCTGAGGATCAGAAACGGCAGAGAACAGACTGGAGGTAAGGCAGGCAGTTCTCTGGCCTCATGGCAGGGGGCGCTCCTGATCCCAGACATTGTAACTCCACAGCTGCAGAGTAAGAGACAGCAACAGCGAGCTAGCATAGAGCTAGCCATACAGTAAAGTCAAGTGCAGCGATATATTTACAGTTTTTCTCCTCTTATCACAGCAATCACTTATTAATAATCTAAAAATAAACATTAAACCTGTTACTGCAACAGGATGAAAGTTCAGCTCTGTGTGGAAAAAATGTGAGTGTTATTCTTTTGTGTGTGGCGTGGCTGTCAGTTGCTATGGCAAAGAGTCATAGCTGCGCTGATACAGAGAGAGAAAGACGTGGTTTTGAGTTGGACTTAAACAGTTTGTTCCTTTGCTGTGGAGCACGAAACTGATAATATCTACATGCCCAAGTTTGATTAACAGAATTATTCTACGGCGCCTGCGCGGCTGATAGTCTTTTTGCCCTCCAGCTTAGTCCGCATGCGCAAAATTTTCTTATTTAAACAATAACATGCAGGCGGTCGATACTTGTCAATATGATGATGATCAAGTCAGTGCCTCATCAGCGATGAACTTCATGGTACGTCACTGCTGTGAGCCAATCAGATTGGACCAGAAGCTACGTACTTCCTGTCTGCCTCCATTTCATGAGGAAGCTACTGAAGCTACAAACTGCATATCAGATTATTGTTACTGAAAACCAGGAATAAAAACTGCAGCTTTTCTATCTTCATGTCACATTTCTGTTATTTATATTATTCCAGTTTGATGAAGAGTGTTTTAAATATTTATAAATGAATGTGAATAGTATCTACTGTAATGTCAAATAAGTGATAAATACATCACAATGTTTTCTGAGAAAACCAAATAGAGCTTTAAAGGTTTCATTCATTCATCAGATTACACAGAAAAAAATATTTAATATTTTTAAATGAGTTTAGTATTTCAAAGACAAATTAATTTATTTTCATTGAAAATTACAAAACATTTCAGAAAAAACTGAAGTTCTTCCTGATCTTTAATGCCCAGCAGTAAATCAGCCTGAGGTTTTCCTGACAGCAGCTCCATACTGGACATACTGGTTTCCAGTTAAACCTGTTAGAACAAAGTCCACTGGAGTTTTCCAGTCACATAAACAGACGGTTCAGGTTGGGATTCATTTTGGGTTTGTTGTCAGATCAGAACATTTCTCCAGGTCTGACCTGCAGCCAGGCTGTTGAGCTGTTAGGATTTCAAAACCAATTTAGCTTTAATTACAATGTTTTCTGAGCAAATTATGTTCAATTTAATAATCTTTGCACATTTTTACCATACAAGACATAGTCTACATTAATAATAATATCTTTAAATATATAAGTAGTTTGGTTCAGCTTTGCCTCTCTAACAGAATCAGGACAATGTTTTGTTTAGGACAATAAGTTTTATTTTCATTCAATCCCATAAATTATTGCAGTCCAGCAGCTGCTCACTTCCTCTGTTCTCTACTTTATGAGGAAGCTGCAGAAACTGCATATAAAACTCATTTAACTGAAACCATTTGAGACTGAACGAGAATAAAGACTCATTTTAACTTAAATCATATTTAACCTTTCCTTCAACCAGGTTCATATTTACATGTACAATAACCTTAGAAACATGTTATAAGACTATTTATATGAATCACTTCATTACATATCATCCCTCTTTGTTTATTTAATAAAGTCCTTCCCTTTACCGTTTACAGTATATAAAAATGATTTAAATTAAAATCCATTTTTGCTCCTCAGGGTTTGAATCAAACATCATGGCTGAATTTAGGAGAATCAAGTAAAACCAGTTTTACTTTGGTCTGAAGATCCAGTTCTGTCAGTTCATAAAATGGACCCGCCTTCCTGATCCACCAGGTGGTTCTGCTGGAGGCTTCAACCCGTTTAATGTAGGATGTTCCTGTCCACAGTCGCCACATGCTTGCTGCATAGTTTCCAGTTTGGACTGAGTTGAACGTTATAAAACGTTTGTACTGTGGATTGCAGGACTGACCAGATCGGACAAAGTTTTTGTTCTCCTGGTTTTAAGTTGAGTTTTGCTTTGATTGAACCCTGAGACAGAAACATCTGGATCCACATCAGCCTGCTGGACCCTAAACATCCACTGAAACAAAAGTGTATAATAAATTCTTCTTAATCTCCTTGACTGTGTAATCCAGAGAATTAAGCCCATCTTTGCCCATATTAAAATACGTTTCTCTCAGTTTCTCGACTCTTACTGGGTTTGGATCGTTGTGAGAATCTCTATCATGTCTTATCATCTTGTACCTCCCAATGACGGAGTCTGGTCTGGATATGGACATCCCTCTGTAAGAGATCCGCTGCGACATGTCGTCCTCTTCACCCCCCCAGCCCCAGAAGGTGTTTGAAAAGCCGTTGACTTTACGGAACTGCTGTTTGGACAACGCCGAGACTCCGCCGAAGAGGGTGGCGTAGGGCAGGACGAACTTGAATGTGTCCACAGCGACAGACAAATGTCTAGGATGATCAGAACATCTGTACAGGTTTCTATCATCCATTGGCACCAGGTCTACATCCGAAAAGACAAAACAGTCGTAATCGTATTCTTTCAGTGCTTCAACAAATCCGATGTTCATGAGCTTGGCCCGGTTGAACGCTCCGTCTCCGTCCTGGTTGATGACGTACACACCGTAGTCCAGCTGCTGACGCATCAGGACCGGATGGACGTAGTAGAGCCAGTGGGCCAGGTGTTCATGACGGTTTCTGAACGGGATGATGACCGCCACCTAGTGGAGGGATGTAAAACAAAATACTGAATCTGTGCAGAATTATCTGAGTTATAAACCCCAACTGGCCCTGCGACGGACTGGCGACCTGTCCAGGGTGTACCCCGCCTCTCGCCTGAAACACAGCTGGAGATAGGCACCAGCACCTCCCGACCCCGTTAGGGAGAAGGTGCTCAGAAAATGGATGGATGGATAAACCCAAATGCAATGACAGGATTTAAATAAGAAGCTGGTTCTGCTGTGACACAGAAGGTTCTTTCAACATCTCGAATATTATTAAAATGTTTACCAAGATTTTGCTGCTGAAGTTTTATTTAAATTCATAACTATATAACATTTGTATACTTCTATGTAAAACATGAAGTTATAATTTAGAAGACTTCCAGCTGCTTCCGTTCACTACCTTGTGGTTGTTAAAGTCCAGTCTGTGCAGGACGGTGTGTTGGGTTTCAGTTCAAATCAAATGATGGTTCATTTATTAGCAGAACTTTATAACACCGTTTGAATCAGCTGTTCTGGAGCAGAGACATTAAAACCAGCCGGTCCAGACCGTTTGGGTCTGGAGGTTCTGCTGGGTTCTGCTGATCACCTGACTGTTTCATCCAGGTGAGCTGAAAAAACGACTTAGACTCCCTGTGTGAAATGAATGGCTCTTTTAAGAGAAATCTAAAACTCAACACATAATAAAAATATAGTTGAATAACATGTAGACCTGAATGTACTGAAACTAAAAGCATAAAATCACTTTATATTTTTGTATTTTACCTGAACTGTTTTGTAGGAACATAAACGTTTTACTTCATCCTTGAACCTTTGAACATTTCATATTTTTATGTATGTCAAAATGTTTGTTTTCTCCAATAAATAAATCAGTAAGAAGGGATGAAACAGTGACCCCTGGCGGCAGAACATGGCTCTACAACAATCTGTTCATTTCTCACTTTTTTTGGTCAAAATTTGAATCTTTCTAAACATCTGAGTTTATTTGTGTTTCGGAGGAAACATTTTCTTTAATCTACAGAAATTTATATCTCTAAAGTCTTAGAACTTTCTAGTTCATCAGTCTGCAGACATTCTGACTTTAATATCAAAAGAAATCAAAATTTTTCCCTGTTGATATAAAATTTCTCATTTAAAAAAAAATATTTATTTATTTTTTAAAAAATGTTTTATGTTCAGTGGATCAAAACTTTAATATTTCATGAACTTCCTGCATTTTTAACCAAGCAGTTTTACTTCACCAACCTTTTGTTTCGCCCTGCAGCTGGTCGGTCGGTACCGGCCTCCCTGCTGAAGGTCCGGGCCGACGTGGTTCCGGACGTCCTGCAGGGTCCGCTTGGTTCTGAACTCCACATATAGAATTCCCTGCAGGCCCGGAGGGACGTCGGGGCACGGATCCAGAGTCCTCCCCGAACTTCCTGTGGGGTTTGGTGGGACTGTCGGATCTGCAGGTTCTTCTGGGTTCGTGGTTCTGTTGAATGTTATGATGGAAATGAATGTTCTGTTCTCGGAGTAAAACAGAAACAGAGCAAAGCAGGCCAGGCTGAAGACAGCGAGAAACACCAACACGTAAAAAAACGTTTTCAGCATTTTAATTCAGCTTGTCTTGTTCTGCAGGTGATGCAGACGCTGCGGATTCTTCAGCTTTTGCTTTATTTCCTGCTCCGGTTCCTCTTTAGATGTTCTTATCAGACATTGAGCTTCAGGCACTTTAACCCAGGTGTGATGATGAAATGGATGAGTCGGAAGATCTACGTCAGAGGAAAAGCATCAATGTTCACCAGAAACTGGATCTTCTGGTTTCTCTACGCGTCTGTTCAACCCTCAGGACAATTTTGCGGGGAGCCTCCAAACCGAAATGTTACGGGTTTTGTATCTTTGATTTGCAAGATATGAATAGGAGGAACATGAAGGTTTCCATTTATGTTTGAACTTCCATTTAGAAACTGTTCTGTGTAATTATAACCAAACAAAATGAAGTAAACAATTTAAGCAACAACTCAAATAGAAAATGTTCACATTTACTTTTATTTATTAATATTTGTGTGTTCTTTGTCATAATTCAAGAATTAATTTTTTGTATTTTTGCATACTGCTCTGCTTTTAAATTCAGCATTACTCTAGTAATTTTTTAAGTCTTTATGCTCATGAAGGTTTAGGGCTAAGAAAACAAGATAATAAAGAGTTCAAAATGTGTTTAATATGAATTCACATATTGATTAGATTTAAACCAGAGAGCTGAGTAAAAAATATTTTCACACCACAAATGTTGTGGGAAAGTTTGCAAAAAATAACATTTTTTGTTGAAGGCTGATTTTCTTCATGCCAAAAGAGCCGAAACCACAATGAGAATATGTTTCAGATGTTTGAGATTTCTGTTTAATAAATTATAATTTTATTGATAAGATTATGTCATGTTTGAGTCTAATAATCTTGCCCACATGCAGAACACCACAGGAGAAACAAAATCAGTAAAGGTAGTTTATTGAAATATGAGAATGGCTGGCAGGATGGTTCTGGTCTAAGGGGAAGCTCATGGAACTGACGGCACACTGAGAAAACCGCAAGGAGGATGATGAGTTCACGGTAGTCAGAAACGGGAGTACTCAGGAAAACTGGATTGGTACGAATCCAGGTAGGACTAGTAGTTGGGCTGAAGAAGCGGCAGTGGGAACTCGGGTAACCAGTGGGTTCCTTCCCCGGCGTCATGAGTGAGGTTTGTCCCGGAAACCAGGTTAGATCATCACTAGGAAGATTCAGGAGGGCAACGAGAAAAATATCTCTAAGAGATATAGGTACCCTGAGCTCTAGAGGCTCAGGGTACCATTGCTGGCTAACACTCAAATGTCAACGTGCTGGCCGTCCGTTCCTCTTGTACTCCAGGATTGATGAGCTGATTGGAAACTGATGCGCAGGATAATGGCACACCTTTCTGGAGAAAGGTGGGATTGGCAGTATCTGGTGGACGGATGGTAAGTACCAGGAGAAAACAGAAAAAAAAGACAAATCCCCCAAAGAAGACCAAAAACCCCGGTTCATGACAGTACTTCCCCCTGAACGGTCGCCAACTGGAGGGGAGCGAGGAGCGATGATCCAAAAGAAGGGAAGGGTCTAAATTAAAAGACCCGGGGACCAGGAGCGATCCTCCAGACCGTAGCCATCCCAGTGGACGAGGTACTGCCAGCCGCGACCTCGTCCACTGGAGTCCTCATTCCTGCGGACAGAGTAGGATGACCATCAACATCTCGGGCAGGAAGAGGGGCTCTGAAGGAGGGCAAAGCGTGCTTGTCTGGACTGGTTTTATCTGAGACATGGAAAGTGACATGGAAAGAATGCAAGAATCTGAGACATGGAAAGAATGCAAAGGGATGCTGGGAGGCAGAGATGAACTCCAGGTGGGTTAATAATGGATTCAATTGCAAAGGGAATGATAAATCTGGGAGAGAGCTTTTTGGACATGAATTTTAGCAGCGATGAATGTGGTAACGACCCAAAGTGACAGCGATGTCCTCTTCTTCAGAAGAAAGAAGAAAGTAATGGCGGTTGATACCCTAAAAAAACTTCAAATGGGGAGAGACCTGTAGCGGCAGAAACATGGCTGTTATGTGCGTACTCCACCCAGTGGAGGAGTTGGCTCCAATCAGAGGGGTTCAAGGAGGTAAATCAGCAGAGGGTAGTTTCTAGTTCATCCTTTAGTCTGTCCATTAGTCTGCGGATGAAAACCAGGTGTTAATGAAACCTGAGCCTTAAGCGCTGCACAAAGGTTTTCCAGACCTAAAAGGTAAACTTGGGTCCATCATCGAAAAATATATCTTAAGGAATAGCAGGAAGATGAAAAACATGTTTAATGAGGAGTTGAGCAGTCTGAAAAGCGGTGTGCAGTTTGCGGAGCGGAATCAAATGACAAGCTTTGGAAAAACGGTCAACAATGGTGAGAATGGTGGACATACCTCGGGATGGGGGTAAGCCGGTGAAGAAGTCGATGGAGACATGGGACCATAGGCGTTTGGGGATAGGTAGTGGTCGGAGGAGACCGGATGGAGGTTGATGGGATGACTTATTCCTAAAACAGACTGTACATGCTTGGACATATTTGATGTCCTCATGAATGGAAGACCACCAGAACTTATGGATTATGAGGGAGATGTTCGATTGATACCTGCATGTCCTGAGAATTTGGAAGCCACTGGATGAAACGGGCTTGGACAGAAGTAGGTACATAGATATTATCAAACACTTTCTGGGGCTGGGGTGGTGAGGACGACGACATGTACAACAGAATCATCATTAGAGGAATGTCCATAAATCGGCCGGACGCTCAGATTGCAAGATACAAAATGATCAAACATGGAAGAGACTTGCACAACGAGGTGAATCCAGAAAACGCTGTAAAAACACAAAAATCAGCAGAGAATATTGACATTGATGGACTAAATTTAATACATCTGCAGACGGAGAGCAAGAAATACACTGCATTAGGCACAAATTAGGATCCGCTCTGAGGAACCCAGAGTTGCATAGTTTTTTGTTTTTTTTTAAGCATTTATTTATAGATTTTAACAGAATACAAATACTTAAAACATAGACCTATACCAGACAAAAACCCAAAGAGCATATACACAGGGTAGACAATTAAAAAAAAAAAAAGACTTGGGGGGAGGGGGGGTTGCAGCAGACCCTCGATTGACCAACCGTAAACATCAACTTGTCTCACCATATGGCCTTATAGCCATCCATCTTTCCATGCATCAAGTTGGATGTCATTTTGGCACAGCCAAGTGTAAAAGACAGACCAGACCACCCAAAATTTATCAAGCTTATTCTTAGTAAAGTAACTGATTTTCTCAAGTGCAAAGTAGAATGTCATTTGTGTGGTCCATTGTGAAATTCCACATAATGTCCTTTTCTTCCAAGAGAGTGCAATGCAACGTTTAGCTTCCAAAAAGGAGACATTAAGTAAGGATCTCAAGTTGTTTGGGAGAACAAAGTCCTCAGGATAAATATTCAAGATGCACATTTTAGGATCCAAAGGAACCTTTTTACCAATCATCTGACCTATCACAATCAATACCTCTTTCCAAAATGCTAACACTCGAGGACACGCCCACATACAATGAAATAAAGAACCTTTTTGGAAAGTACATTTAATGCAAGTGTCAGGAATATTAGGATTAAAATTATGCAATTTAGCTGGAGTGATGTATTGCCTAGTCAGCCATTTGTATTGTAATAATTTGGAATTTATGTTAGCAGATTGTGTGTGGATCGAAGTGCAAGCTAATGACCATTCCTCACTCGATAAGTTCTCTCCCAAGTCCGCTTCCCATGCTTTTAGGATATTAGTCGAAGATTCCTTACAGTTGTCAACCAACAAGGAATAAATTAGAGACACCTGTCCTCTGCCATATAGGTGGCTGATGATAATGTCTTCTAATGAAGACAAAGAGGGCAGATCAAGGTTATTTTGTTGCTTGGATAAAATGAAATTACGAACTTGAAGATATTTATAGAAATGTTTAGTAGGAATGTCATGTTTGTTTTTAAGTTCTTCGAATGACATAAATACTCCCTATAAAAAGATCAGATACCTTAGCTAACCCCTTAGCAGACCAGAGTTTAAAACCTGGGTCAGTTCTACCTGGACCAAAGTCCCTGTTTCCAAAGATGGGTGAGAACTGGGATAGCTGCTGCTTTACTCCCAAATAATCAAGTACCTTTTGCCAGACCAGCATTGTATTTTTCAGAAAAGGGTTTTTTCTTTGTTTAATAAGTTTTTTCCTGTCTGATGAGTACAAGTATAAGTTTATAGGAATAGAGATATGCTGGGACTCCATTGTAACCAACGCTGGGGGCTCTTTGGATATAAAGTAAAACATAGCCGCCCTGATCTGGGCTGCCCAGAAATACCATAATAAATTTGGTAATTGTAAACCACCCCTGTCATAAGGTAGATATAAAAGGGACAGCCTCACTCTAGGACGCTTACTGTTCCAGATGAAGTTGGAAAAAGTTTTATTTATCTCCTTAAAAAAGGAGAGGGGAGGGGAAAGTGGAACTGATTGGAAAACATATAAAAACTTTGGCAATATTGTCATTTTTATGATATTGACGCGGCCTATTAAGGAAATGGGTAGTCTGGACCATCTTTCTATTAATTGCATAACTGATTCTGTAAGGCGATTATAATTAGTTGGAATGATATCCTGTATTGTAGGGGTAACTTTAACACCTAGATAGGTAAATCCTTGTTTAGACGCTACATATGGAGTTGAAATTGGGGGATTGAGACGTTCTTTTTCTGATAGGTACAGTATTTCAGATTTAGCATCATTTACCTTATATCCTGAAAAAATTCCAAAAGACTTAATTAAATCATTTATTGCGGGCACAGTGTTACCCAGCTTAGAGCAAAACAGGATTATGTCGTCTGCATACAAAGCCACACGGTGTTCTAAGCTCCCTAATCTTATACCGGTTATTTTATTGTGTTTGTGAATTGCCATTGCTAAAGGTTCGATGGCCAATGTGAACAACAGAGGAGAAAGGGGGCAGCCCTGCCTTGTTCCACGTTTCAATTTAAAGGGAGATGAAGTTAGACCATTGGTTAAAATTTCAGCTTGTGGGTTAGAATAAATGAGCTTTACCCAGTTAAGAAATTTCCCTCCTATGCCAAAGCGTTCCATAACATCAAACATATATTGCCATTCTATCCTGTCAAAGGCCTTCTCTGCATCCAGCGACAGGATGGCAGTGTCTGGAACTTCAGATTTCTCAAAAATTACATTAAACACTCTTCTGATGTTGTGAAAATCCTGTCTTCCTTGTACAAAACCATTTTG